GAAGACGGCTGTGCCTTAGTAGAACTTTTAACTCAAATCATGTTTATAATGATTCTTTTATACATAAATAATGATTGACGACATAATATTCGATCGAAAAATTAACTGGAATGTTTTATTTTTGGACATAAATAATAGTACCTTCTGAAAACGGACCCTCTTATGACGTAGAAACCTTATCTCACCATAGTTAAAAGAAAATACCAAACGCTCGGCGGAGACTGAGGCAACTGATATATTAATTCTTTCAATTGTGATCTCGCGCTAATTCACTCTGTCAGAAATCATGTATCCGGTCCGAAAAATCGGGAATTTCAATAATTTTTTATAAAACGTTTTGCGGTGGTTGCGGTGGTGAGCTAGTTTGGGTGAGTTCTATCGAATTATGAAATACATTTTTTTGTGATATAAGCCCATTGAATGGTAGATCTCAAAAACCTATCTGTGCCACCCCTCATTCTGAGCCAAATCCACGGCAAAGCGATTCATTTGCTTAGGATAGTGATTGGCCTAGGTGCCGTTCGATGAGCTACAATGTTTTTACTTTCCTTTGGGAGATATATCATTTCGTTATCAGATGAAGGTAGAAATCTGCAGCCGGCTCTCCTAATAACATTAGTTCTGCCGATTATGTACAAAGTCAAGAAGGCAAGTCAAACAAACAAATGGTCAAAAATCATCGGCGAAATTCACGAAATAGACTCGTTTGATATCTTCATTAGTGGAAAATGGCTGATTCAAGTCCAGATTTCCCAAGTGATATCGAGGAAGTAGCACAAAATGTACTATTCTCTTCGTCCATCCATTTTGTTATTACGTAACTGGTATAAAATGAAAATTTTATCACGCAATTATGTAATATTTCACTGGTTACGTAAAGTGAGTCGTTCAAAACTTGCGACAGTATTTCTTAATTATTGCATCAAATACTATTTATCCATGGTGTGATCAATATAAAATAGGTATGAAGCGCTAATTCGACTCTTTGATAATATTTATAAGCTCTGGACTTTGAAGTAACACGCAAACAAAGATTAAGTTCAATATAGTGCAATCACTTGTTCATGGAATGCTAGGATAGGAACAGCAATTATAAGTTTATAGTCCATTATTGACAATGCAAAATGTTGATTGATCATTCTCAGCTAAATCGAGAAATATGTCAACAGTCTTGCCATTTTTGTCATAACATCAATCATTTATGGGACTAAGAAATTGATAAAGAATACTACATACATTATATAGGGCGTTCCACTTTATAGTAGCAAAACAGCGACAATCGATGAATGTTCCTATTTTAAGTTTTCTGAAATCATTGTTCCAAAGACGGATTGAGAGACAAAAATGATTTTCTCCAATTACTAGAATACCGTTCAACAAAAATACAAGATATTCTATGATATACTTTGTATCTGTAAGCAAAGCCTATCTTCAACCTCAAATTATGTCGAACGACTCTTTTCCAAAACTTGTTTGTCTATATAACGGCAAAGCTTTAGAATTCTTTGCCAAAGAAAGTATTTCCAAGAACTTATAACCTCCGAAAGTTAAACAAAATTCCGATACCTATAACTTCTCTCCCTTTCCTCCCTATACCGATGAACCATTTTGCAGCTATAAGCAAAAAAATAAAAAAGTGCAAAAATGTGGCGGTTTTTTGGCTATCAAAAGTTAAGCTCAACTCCTGGAATGGTGCAAACTTAGATTACACGCATTTGGGACCGAATGAAGGTAATTAAATGATGACTATAGGACGCACGATGTTCCTTGAATATTATAAACTAGCAGACCTCGCAAACGTTGTTTTGCTATATACATCATTTCTATAATATATTTTTTCAGTTCAATATTCATCAAGACACTATTATTATTTCATTTTCTACTTCTTTTTAGTTTCGCTATCTATAAAAGCGTGTTTCTCTAGTTTTTCAAACTACCATATTTCAACTTCTTTTTAGTTCACTTGAATTTCCCAATTTTGACGAAAGAATCATAATATCCGACTCCTAAAACCCCAGATGAAAATGTTGAATAGAATCGGAACATAATTACAAAACTCGTCCGCAATATTGGATCTACCATCTTGACTTCCCTAATCTTGACGAAGGAATCATAATTTTTGATCACGAAAACGTCCACTTACAAAATTTGAATAGAATCGATATATAATTACAAAACTCGTCCGGTATATTATTGCTTCCACCGTCTTGAATTTCCAAATCCCGCCCTTTCCACATTTTGACAAAAGAATCATAATCTCCGACCCTGAAAATACTCAGATAACAATTTTGAAGAGAGTCGGATCATAATTACAATACTCTTCCTCCATATTGGGTCCGCCATCTTGAATTTCTCAATTTTGACGAAAGTATCATAATCTCCGACCCCGAGAACTACCAGATACCAAATTGGAATAAAATTGGACCCCAATTACAAAATCCGCCATCTTGAATTTCTTGATTTGGACGAAGGAATCATAATCCCTGATCACGAAACCCCCTAGGTACAAGTTTTGAAAAAAATCGAATTATAATTACCAAACTCCTCCGCCATATTGATTCCGCCATCTTGAATTTCCAAATTCCGCCTGAATTCTCAAATTCTGACGAAAGAATCATAATCTCCGACCCCGAAAACCCCCAGTTACCAATTTTGAATAGAATCGCACCATAATTACAAAACTCGTCTGATATTGATATATTAAATCCGCCATCTTGAGTATCCTAAAAAGTATCCTTTAACCTTCTCCTGGTTCTAAGCTACATCCCCACCAATTTTAAGCCAAATCGATCCAGTAGTTTAGAAACCTATTCAATACAAATAAACAAACAAACAATGAAACATTTCCTCTTTATAATATTAGCATAGAAAAAAAAATACATACATTCCTAGTATTTTTCAGCCGATATCAATATCAATGGCGACAAAATAAATGCCCTCGTGTTAAAAGATGGATCGCACCATTTTCGAGTGAAGTTTTTATATTAGTGTCGGATAGTCCACTCAAGACAATTTTTTTGTTATCGCTTGGTGCGCACGAAAGGAAATCCCTATGATGTTCGAAGAACATCGTGTGTACCTAGGGAGGATAGGGAGAGGAGGTAGGTGTTGGAATTTTTTTTGAACTTTTGGAGATCATAAGTTCTTGGGAATACTTCCTTAGGAAATGAATTCCAGAGCTTTCCCGTTCTATGGAGAAACGGGTTTTGATATAGTGGTGTTCGACATATTCCGAGGTTGACAACGAAAGGATATGCTGACTGCGCTTGTCGAGTTCGTCTGGCTGGTATTGGTAGTCATGAATAGGAGCAGAGGTTTCTGAAGAACATTTTCTGTGGAAGTATCTAAAAAAAATGAAAGTTCAAAGATCGGTTCAAAGTGTTAGTGAGTGTGGCATCACCCACTAGGCGATTGGCTCTTCTCTGGATGGAATCTAAGAGTATCAGAGTATGTTTGGGTACTGAACCCCATATGTGAGAACAGTATTCTAGAACAGGTCTTATCTAAGCTTTGTGAATAATGTGAAGCTGTTGAGGTGTAAAGTAACTTTTCGCACGGAATAAAAATCCGAGTTTTTGTGAAGCAGCTTTCGCGATGGATCTGACATGATTATCCCATGAAAGAGTATTGCTGATGGAGACACCGAGCATAGATATTGTCTTGGTGGGAATTTCGGTATCACACATTGTTATATCAGGCATACTGAGTTTCGCGTTTCTAGAGAAAATACAGGCTTGAATTTTCGCGGCGTTGAATTCAACTAGGTGGTTGGTTCCCCGGCTGTGATTTTAGCAAGATCTTCTTTGGCATCAATGACCTGCCTTCGCCGTGAGTTCTTAGTTTCCTGGGAAGAAATGGGAATCCTGCAAGAGAACGCAGTATCTGCAAAACTGTGGATAGGACAAGTGTTTGCTCCCAACAGAATCATTGATATGAAGTAGGAACAATATGTTGGGGCAAAAATTGATCCTTGTGGAACGCCGGAATTGATAGCAATGGTATCAGACGATACACCGTCCACCACCACGTGGAGTGATCTGCCTGAAAGAAAACTATATAAGAGATGGCATAGCTGAGGTGGTAAGCCATATGATGGTATTGGGAGAACTTGGTGCCAAACACGGTTGAATGCTTTCGATATGTCTAACGCCACAGCTAGAAATTCCCCATGTTTTTCTAATGAAGCTTGCCATATATGGGTGACGTAGGCAAGTACATCTCCAGTTGATCTTCGGTGGCGAAAGATATCGATAATTCCTGAGCTTTCCAGATATTTGATGAGCTCAATGTTGATGGCTTTCTCCATCACTGTGGAGCTTACTGATAACAAGGCAATAGTAGTTGTTGGACCGGTTTTTGTTCTCTTTTTTGGGAATTGGTTCGACTCTAGCTATCTTCCAGCATGATGGACGAATACCGGCTCTGTACGAGATGGTAAATAACTTGCAGAGACTAGGGATCAATTCTTGTGCACATTTTTTGAGGATAATGGGTGGAATTCCATCGGGACCGTTAGACTTATTCGTTTTGAGATCAAGCAAAATGCGTCTGATAGTGCGCTGCGGAAGACGATTTCGGGCATTCGACTTTCCACGGGTGGAATATCGGGCGGCAATTCTTCTTAGGAATCTAAAGTAGAGTTTGCTGCAAACATCTCTGCAAAAATATGTGCTTTCTCCTGCTATGTTGTTGCTAAGCCGTCGGCTTCGGAAAGTAGTGGAAATGAACTATTAGTGAAATTCCTCCCGACTGGTTTGGGACCAAAACGAACGGGAACCAATGGGACAATCTATGTGTTTCGATCTAATTTTTTTATTGTATGTTTCTTTTGATGCATCTATTGTTTGGTTAGGCGGGGTTAGGGTTTTTGCGCGTTTGTTTCAAGGCAACAGCTCTAGAAATTTTTTTCTTGAACCAGGGTTTCGAAGGTGATGATCTTTTCGAAGAATGAGGTACGTATGTGTCCATTCCAAGAGTTATAATCTCGAATTTTTCCGCAGCACACTGTGAAGGATGCTCAGAGTCTAAGCATATTCTGAGCCGATTACGGGAAAATCAAAATAAAAGTGCTCAAAAAAACAAATGGACCACACACATTTTTTGGTTGAGATGCGATAACTTCTTTGGAAATTGGCCGATTTTCCTTCGGAATGCAATGTTCTGTTCGAGAATCATTGTTCAATTTTATCAAAGTTTTCCAGTACTGACGTACCAAAAACTGGTAGTGTTACATAATCCAAAAAGTTTAGGAGCTTCCATATTCCCCAGGATTTTTTTCATTCTTCTGCAGACCATCTTCTTCAATTCTTCAAGTCAATATTTCAAAATGATGTGAAATATAGATGTTTTACAATATTGTTGTTTTATGCATTTCTGCGGATTCACAAAAGTTCAGGCGATATTCAAATCATATTTTCGACAACAACGAAATAAGCGTCTTTCGAATAATGCATGAGGTTTTATGAAATCGTCTGTTCATATTGATGCTGCTACAATTATAACAAAGATTTTTATAAAAATAATTGTACGTTTATTTTCAATTTCAATGCCATGTATCACGGAAACTAAGCTTCTAACGACAAATATTTATATGAACTTTTATTCTTAAAATAAGATTTTTCTATCGATTGTCCGAGTTCTGCTGCTATGAAGCTGATCACTCTGTATATCAAGCTAGAAATGTTTATTCCTCTTGAATTTCATTATTTATGTATTCAAAAGTATTTCCTATTTAGCTGACAATGCTCAAAGAAGAGACGCTCAATGTAAATAGACAAAAAATATTATAACCTAAATTTCAAAGAACAAAATAGTTATTTATTATACAAGGGAAAAAAGTAGTAGATTTTAGCTCCAGGTTGTGTTGTCTCCCTCCACTACGCATCGGGAGACAAAAATCCATGAGATACAATCTAATATTTTTCGCGTGTATGATACACTAATTTTTTTCTGTGACAGGAAAAACGACGAATCAATACTGAGAAGATATTAAAATCAGCAAATTATTGACTTGAATTATGAAGTTTTTAACAGGAATGACACCTGCGTTGCAGGTATCTTTTTTAAGGTATCTTCATCATTCGTTTGAAGTAAACAAATAGCTGTCAGTGTATCACGAATTGTGAATTTAATGATTATTTAGTAACCACGAAGTCGAATGGGTGATAGAAGGAGTTCTTTCTCGGAGACGGTGTTATTGGCTTATTTTGCGGAACTATAGCACAACAGAGGTACACACTCTTTTCCCGTGGGAAGAAAGTAATTTTTGAAAAGTGACAGTTAATAACCTGTCAACAGAGATGAAATTTCAAACTATTTTCCCGTCACAGAAAAAACAAATTATATACCTATAAGTATTCTTTATACATATTACATTTCATCCATTCATGTTGTTCTTGCTGATGGTCAGGTTGTTGTTGTATGTACAAGATAAGTAGGTAGTGAAAAAAGGGGAGGAATCGATTTTTGAACAAGTGAGATATTTCAGCTTATTAGAACTAAGTACCTTTAAGCCTCTTGCAATGTACCTAGTTTTGACATCGACGTAAATAGTAGGCCTTGAAGATATATTTTGTGAACTCTTGATCATCATCAAGTACAAAACTCATCTCCCAATATTTCAATTTCTCAAATTTTTAAATTGCACATGCTGTATATACCCTGTGAACAACTAAGAACGGCTGTCGGCCATATCTCAGCAACGAATAATTATACAATTTTGAGATAGAATAAAGCTGATGGTATGCATATCATTACATGAATAGAGAGAGAGAAACTAAATCTCAAGAGACCAACGAAAACCGCAACATGATAGCTTTTCACTAACGGAAGGTATTAACTATCAAAGTTGGAAGAATGATAGATATGACAGTCGTTCTTAGTTGTTCGCCCGGTACAGTGTATCATGAAGTTGGCATCATTTGGGAAAACAATTCAATTATTTATTTTGAAATTCGACTTGGGCGTTGAGTTTTGCTTTGAAAAAGATGAAAAATTGCCAACTTGGTCGGGGTCACGTGCTTCCGCTTCATGTCAAATGTTACATTTTTTCAAATTGATTGCTAACTTTATGAAAGACACTGTATATCCACAGACAATAAGTACTTATTTCGAATATGCCTACACTGCTAAATCAACTTTTACCTATTCAATGATTTCTTCCCTCATATACCTGCAGGGTGAGTTGGGAGGAACAAACCAAACTAAGAGAATTCATTTGTTTCAAAGTTGAACTTCAAAACAAAATGCTTTCCTTTGTAAACACATAACAAATAAGTAATTCGTTCGGCATTTTGTTATGTCTTCTACTTTGAAAAGAAAAATGATAATCTTACAACATTTGAGGATTTATACTAAATGATTTTTAGGTGTTTGAAATACAATCCAAAGTTTCAGGCATTTCTCATGACTCACCCTGTATATATACTGTTGATTCGTACTAGTCAATTTTGTATTTGCCATTACATCTAGATATCTTCCAATTTGTATTCAATACATATTACCAGGAATGTTATTCTTATGGATAATATAAGTGGTACTCCTATATTTTCGTTTTTTTTTTCTTCAACCACCCATACCGAAATATTCTGAACTTTCATAACACCCTCCCTCTGTCTTAAGGAAGGAAACAAGTGTTGCCCAAGATTTTCATAAAAACTCAGTTCTAAAAACGGCCATCTAATTTTCACTTTCCTTATGACAAGGAAACCCTAAATAAAAATTATACATAGCTCATATTTTCCTCTAGTATCAGGTTGAAAGTGATTATAGAATATATAGGTATAACTAGTATTTTTTCATAAGAAGAAAAAATTGGTGAATAATAATACTAATGATGTGAATAAGTATAGACAGTCATTGTAAATAAATTTTATTTCCTCAACCATTTCATACTTTAACAAATATTACACTCAAGAAAAATAACAATTTGAAACTATTCTCACAAACAATGAATATTCAAAGTATAGGTGTGACTAAATAAATTATTAATAAATAAATAAATATTATTGTGCCAAGTTACAAGAAAATGATACAAAATATATCCCAAATATGAACACAACACAAATGATAACAGGAAAATAAATAAATAATAGATATACATCTATAAAATATACTAAACTCTTTCGATTTTTGAAGAATGTGTCTTGGATTTCCATATGGTTTCTAGGACTATTGTTTGTGATAATTTGAAGATATAGTACCTAAACATTAGCGGAAATCGCAAATACGTCGTTTGTTAATATATTATCTAGTTGATAAATCAAAAACACGATGTTTCGCTAAAATAGTAGCTTCTTCAAGTGAAATACCATCAAACTACTTACTGTGTTAGCAAAACATGTATTTTTGAGAATTTTTTGTGATCCCTCCATCATGTAATGGCTGAAGTCAATTCATAACAATAACAAATTGATGTATTTTCTATCTTGAACGAGAGAGTTCTTTCATCTTTCTCTTCAATAATACCAACGTAACCGCATTGAAATATAGAGAGGTCCGATAAATCTGTCCTTGTCTAACATCTAGTTTGTGCCACTGAACTATTTTTGAACTCAGTAGAGAGTCAAATTTCACGATATTAAAAAATGATGTCAAAATAAGTATGATATAATTCGAAATTTCATTTACAAAATTCGAAAGGTTATCAGTCATTGACATTTATGACATAGACATGTCACATCATTATAACATCGAAGATAGTTCAGTGGCGCAGGATAGACGTTAGACAAGGAAAGATTTATCGGATCTCTCTACATATATTTCAATACGGCCACGTTGGTAGCACTGAAGAGAAAGATGGAAGAGGAGAGAACTCTCTCTCGTTCAAGGTAGAAAAGAGCTCAATTAATTGTAGTCTGTCTACTCTTCGAATTTCCGCAGTCACGATTTTTCATAAATTCTGTTGTGAACAGGGTGACCTAAAATGTATATTTGCATATCCGCATTCTTTGAAGGCAATTTCAATGGTGAATACTTTCAACGAAAGAAATGGGAATGGCAAGAATTTGAGTACTTAGCATTGTTAAAAATGAAAATTTGAACAATTTATTTTGCAGAGCAAAAATGCAAAAGAGTCGCAAAATGGTCAAAACATAGAAAATATAATCCTCTTTCGATCTCTAATTAAACAAAATATTTATTTATACTTTTGTTAATAACTCGTCCAAAAAAAATCTAGAAGAGTGGCAAACTTGAAGAGATGTTTCTATCTATGTCACGAATTTCTCTGAAAATTTGCTACTCCGCCGATGACCGCAACAAAATTTTTATTTTACTTTACAATCAAAAATTGTGCCACTCTTTCAGATTGTTTTCGAAGAGTCATTAACAAAAGTATAAATAAATAATTTATTCATTGTGATGCCAAACTTCGAAATGGTCGCAAAATTAGAGAACGATCGAGGATTATATTTCCTTTGTTTTCACTATTGCGACTCTTTTGCATTTTTTCTCTGCGAAATAACCACAATTGTGTATAATTTGCTTTTTTAACAATGTTGCTGGCCTTGTTCAAGGGATCAAGTTTCAATAGTTCCATTTAACAATGAAATATAACTTCTGTGAGTTTAAATGGTTTTGCTATTTTTTTCCAATTTTTTATTTCAAAAGCTAAAATGATTGGCCTATATACGATAACTTATCAGGAAATCCGGTCACAGCTCGGGTCACAGTTAAAAGGATTATATAATTATATTTTAATTGTGACGCGTTGTACATCCGTAAACCAAACATGAAACTATGTTTACTATTAAGTCAAGATTACTCTGCCCCTCACCGCTTTTCCTGATCTAGAGAAATTTTCTCTACAAATGATCATCAGTTCCACCAACTTTGAGTGTAGCTAGTTTTTCAACCAATGTTATGGCAACTATATCAAGTAAACGACATAGTATGCATATTTATAATAGCTATATTTTTTTCACCAACTTCAACTGAGATTAACCAATACCCTCAGACAATAGGTCAGTTGAATTTAAGTTCAATTGACCATATATTTCACTTGAAATGATTATGACATTTTGTGCTTTTTGAGTCGGTTTTTCTTGTTGGATCATGTTCAAGATTGATTTTGAACCGATCTAAAGCGTGACGTAGTAAATTATCTCATTTAAGAAAACAGACCATGTTGAGATGAAGGCTGTCAAAATCAATTATTGCTCATTCATAACCTGAAATATAAGACCTGTTCGTTTGTGTTTGCCCTACCTGCTGAATTTTATTTTTTTCTATGCCTTTCTCTGTTTACATCATGCCATGAACAGAGACAACTATGGAAAAAAATCAACTTCAGCAAGTTCAGCAATAGAAACGAACAGGCCTCTATAGTAATTTCAATAATTGATAATTCAACAGTGTTTGATCTTGTAGAAATACAATGATTTCAACAGTGGTGCCGATTTTATTCAATCAATTTAATTGAAGCTTGATGATAATCATTTACATCGATTTTATTTTCACCACTCGTCCCACCTGAGCATACTGTTCATGTGGTATTGTTCTGAGATTGTTTGTTACCTTTGATCTGTCAGGAACTGTCAAAAGTCAAATCAATTATAATTAATTTCGGATTCCAAAATTTATTAGATAAATGGCAAAAGCATGCAGTCCAATAAGTCAACTGATAATGATAATTAAGTGGTCACAGACGAAAATGATGTTCAACACTAAGGATGGCAATACAATTTCTTGAAAACTTAAGGTGGTTGAGAAATTCTTTATGTTCTAATAGTGGGTTTATGCAAAACTTCCAGTTATAACTCATAAGTCTTAAATTTAAGAGTCATAAGACTTATTCATGCTTGTGACTTTATTTTCATCTAATTAATTATTCCAAAATGAGTACTTATTAATGATGGCTGAATGATAAACAAATTGTTTTGCTACTCAAAACATAATAAAAATTGATGCAATATGGAAAATTTGCCCATGAAGGATGAAAGAGTGTGTTGTTAGGATATGACAGGCCTTATGATTCCTGCATGGATCGTCGATTTTTTTTATTACCTAAGCTTAAGACATAACTAAAAACTGATATGATATCACTTTTGAATTGAAACTGCTGCATAAATCTACTTATAAATCACATTCCGATGATAAACTGCTTGACCAGAAACAGGAACATATTTCTATGAAATAAGTACATTGTAGTTTTTACATAATTATTAACTTGATGTTAAGTGTTCCTTATAGATCAACACAACTCAGTTTTGTCTCTCTTTTACTCAGTTAGTCTGAATGGGATGGATGTACCGTGGTAACAAAAATATAGCTATCGATTGATCATCTCTGCATTTAACTTTCAACCATTAAATAATATTGAAAGGGGGTTTCAATGTGTCATCACATTATCAGCTATACAAAATAGTTAAACAGTCGAGAAGACTATACTACCTATAACAATTATTGCGGAAAATAAAATTAGATACAACTATCAAAGGGCCCTGATTCTTTTCAACTATGATTGCGCCTAGAAAGCAAAATTCAACAGAATAATGCATCATGGACTCTTTCAACTGTACTATACTGATTAAATAGTTTCTACCCGTTTTCTCTGATGAGACTGATCTGTCAGTTTCTCTAGATATGTATATGAGCGACTGCCCTTATAATTAAGTATCTGAGAAGTATGGATTGTATGTATGCATCTACATCACCATACTAATGCTATAGGTACTCTATAACATGGTCCAAAATTTGGAATGAATAGAAGAAAAAATCTAATTGTCATTCAGGTTAGGCACAATATCAATTATTCTGGAATAAAATGCCATCTAAAACCAGTTTCACATTGAAATTACTATTATTCGTTTAAAAATCACTCACTATAACATTATTTATCATGTCTTTTGAAATAATATCATATCTATTGGTCCACAATCGCTAACCTCTAAATAGGAAGACTAAATAAGCATAAATTATTATTGTCTATCATCATTATGGAAAGATTATGATTTAAGAATATCATCAACTGTTAATTTTGGCCATGTTATAAGCATAAAATATTTGTAGTGCCTCCAACTGTTTTCTGTGCATTAAAATATGAGGCCTCTTTTCTTCCATATGACTGACCGCTTCCTCTGGCGTCCAGTTATATCTCTGGAAGAATATTACCATTTCTTTCAATATATCATACACTAATATACAGTGCGCTCAATTTCAAATTGCCAAAATAATAAATAATAATTTAGAATGGTTAAGAAAATCAGAAATAACAGTTTGTCATTTCGATTAAATAATTAATATTCACAGTTTGCATGACATCAACTTACATGCATCAAATAGCATCCAACCAATGTTGCGCTTCTGGTTCTTCCTGCTTTACAATGAATGTAAACGGAATGATTTGATATGCCATCTATAATTTCTCTCTTTCTCACAAATTTATTGATGAAGGCTACACCTTCAACAAGTTTTTCTTGACATGGAGTTGCAAAGATGTCGGTTGTGGCCAGCTGTAAGAATTCTACTCCAACCTGTTTCCAAGACTAAAATAAAAGAAGCATATTCACCCATGAAAAGGTTCATGCAAATATTTTAACCAGATATTCACATCTATTTATGAATAGAAATTATTACCCATAAGATAACATGAGTCAATGCATAATAACATGAGTCAATGCATAATGAAATGAAAATTCTTGAATTACAATTTTATTGAAGTGATGATTTGCTGGTAGACATATACAGATTAGATTAGATTAAGAAAAGGGGCATTCCACACCGCGACCTTTTCAGATCTAGTGTCTGCCCTCAAAATCGTTTAGAGTTCTTTATCTAGCCCCGCCTTCTCTATGAAGTCCCATAGGCTAGCTTTAAGATCCCCTGTGTATCTTTGGGCTCTCGATTTTTCTTCTCCCAGCGTAAGTAACCTTAGTTTTGACAAGCCCGCACAGTGGCAAAGTATGTGTACTGCTGTTTCTTTCTCTTCCTGGCAGAACCTGCACAACAGTTCCTCAGCCAGGCCTATCGTACTCATATGTTTGTTGAGCCTATATAATGCCCTGTGAACTTTGTTTCTGGCTTAATAGATGTTCTGTGAATATTGGCGATGGTTTTTTAATAAACTCCTTTGCCTCATTCCTGGCGAGTTTTTCCACCATTCTTGAGTTTTGGTTTGCATCCATGAGTTGATACTTATTTTCCGTATAGCTTTCGCAATACCACAAGAAGGTTTTGAGCCATTCAGAGCATGGTTTGCTCGACTCGACAGGCCCAGTCAGCACACCCCTTCTTCGTCAACCTTGGAAAATGTCGAACAACACTCTACCGAAACTCGTTCGTCAATAGAACAGCGAAGCTTCGGAATTCTTTGCCAATGGAAACCTCCAAAAGTTGAAAAAAAATCCCAACACCTACCCGTTACCATCGAGACAATGAGGCCTGCATGCTCCGTGGTGACGTCACCTTAGTGAGGCCTAACCAGCGGCTGGAAACGACAAGCGCTTATGGCGCTATAAGGCGACCGCGTATTTCAATTTTAGTTTTAGATCATTATTGAGCCAATTTTGCTGTTTTTTCGAAGGGCTTCCGGTTAAAAAATGGTACCAGTCGTCAACTGAGCCCTTCTTCGCATCCCATTTGATTTTATTATGGAAAAACGAAATTTCAAACCAAAAACCAGAATAAAACACATATACCCACCTACAGTCACCCATTCAAATTAAATATATTGGCAATAATTGTGGTGAAGGAAACTTCACACCTACTTATACAGGGCCCGCAGAACATAAACTTATCGTGAGATTGATCGAAAGAAAATTGGGGAAAATGTATTTTATTTTGATAGACATGCCATTTGTTATAAGTACTTATATTTGTCTTGGAGAATTTCTATTACCTAAAAAAATAACCAGTGGGTGTTTTCAATTTCTTGTTGTTGGATTTTTTACCCAATTGATCATTAGACTTGAAACAGTAATTTGAAGGGTAAAACTGCATTTATCATGCGATGGATTTTTTTTCGAAAATTTTTTTGGTACTTACGTATTTTCGTCTGAAAAACACGAATTTGATAATGAAAATGTGAACAAACCACTATTTATCGAGATATTTCAAGAAAAAGTTCGAAATTTCGCCTTTTTTCTCCCCTTGTGTTGGGGGCATTTAAAGCTACTTGCTCTTCTTACTTTGTCATTGGACACTTCATATACTTATGTAGCGCATGTAAGTATGAACATAATATGAGGATGGATGAATGGTCATTAGTTTAGGTGATAATAAAAATTGTTAAGAACTTTTAAGACTTGTATCATAATTGTATGATCTTCTTGGATAAATAAAGGTATTCTATTCTATTCATAATGTACTTGAATGAAGTAGGAACATACCTTTGAATCATTGGAGAAAAATAATTCATAATCTTCATTCATTGAGACAACCGCTTTCACATGTTCCTTTTCTACAAGCTGGAAAAAAATATCAACATGAAACATTTTCTAATCAACGTACATCGAGACCTACATTATATTAACAGTTCAGGATTAGAACACAAATAGCTATACCGGGTGATACAGACTTATGATATAACCCCTCTGTCAACTTTGTTGCTCACTAGATGGCACTTTCTCACATTTCAGTTTTTTTTAATCTTCTGGTTTTCCTGGAAATTACATCAAATTTCAATTTTCGAATGGAACACCTTGTATTATTTTGTTCTATAATCGTTTAGAGATTATGATAACCAGAAACGAATGCTCAATGGATGTGACCGTTACCATCGAGATTCCGATGGTAACGGTGTGACGCGCAGTATCGAAAATATAAGGTGTTCCATTTGATACTCGGACGTTGATGTCATTTCTAAGAAAACCGGAAGATGAAAAAATCCTGAAATGTGAGAAAGCGCGCATATTCGAAGCTCAAAATTTCAGAAATATAGCTAGATACACAAAGGACTGTGGTATACCATGAGTCTGTGTCACCAGCTATGTCAGCTTTCAAGACTCAAGTGGAATGGTGGACTATTAAATACTTTCTGAAATGTTTCACCTTGTAAATGAAAAACAAGATGAAAACTCATCTTCACACTGATTTTAATCATGAAAATTTGATAGGCGAAAATACTCCCAAAATTAAAAAGAAGAGTTCATACAAACTTGTATGGTGTAGCCGAGGGGTAAACCGCGGCGTAATTCTAGTGTACAAATTCCCTGGATTTCCTTGGATTTCCTTGGAATTTCCAGGAATTCCTGGTCAACAAACTACTGGAATTCCTTGGAATTCTTTGGGTGAAGTGCAGTATAATTCTGGTGTACTAACAACTGGAATTCCTTGGATTTCCTTGGGATTCCTTGGATTTTCTTGGAATCCCTTGGATTTCTTTGGAATTTCTTGGATTTCCTTGGATTTTCTTGGAATTTCCTAGAATTTCTTGGAGTCTCTTGGAATTTCTTGCGAGAAGTGCGGTATAATTCTGGTGTACAAACAACTGGAATTTCTCGTGAAATTGAAGTTTGGTGCACACAATTTTGACCGCCTCGGGTTTACCCCTCCCTTGTAGCTTAGTTTTCAAGATACCGGGTGTTGACGTTAGAAAAAGTATTTGGCTGGTATTCAAATATTCAACAGTACTGAAGAATTGTGAATGTGAATTTTCAATTTTCAATCATACTCTTTATTGAATCTCGTCTTGAATGAATGGAGATCGGGAAAAATTCTCGGTAAAATGTTCGGAAAAATGTCAACACAAAAATCTAATAATTATTTGGAACTCATTAACCAGTTAATAGGAACTTTAAAATAAGAAATAATTCAGGAAATGATGGTGCACCTCATTACCTATCCATAATTAATAAATATGATGACTGATGAACATGATAAAATGGTTGGTATATCCCAGGGTATATCAATTTAAAACTCATAAAATTTACCATATAGTTTATCCTTGGTCAAGCTTTAAACAGTTATTGCTTGAAATAGGGTTACTGATAAATGATCTGCTCATAGAAATCATCTCGGAAATCATTTTTATTTTGATTGTTTGATTCACAATAAATTTTATCTCAACAGCTACACTTCCCATTAATAAAATTGACTAAATTCAAGATTAGTTAGGAAATGAGAGTTTATGAACAGATTAAAGTGAAAGGAATACTTAAACTCCCAAGATAAGCTGGTATAATTTATCCAACCAGCACTCACTTCAAAGGGAACTTCAAACCCGCCGATATTCTGCAATTGATTTTGGATATACTTTACCTTTTTATCTCATTTCTATGAATACTGGTTCATGTGAAGAAATGTTTTTCTCTGGTTTCAATTTACAAAATTTTTATTAATTTAAAAGAAGGATGGAAAGCTGAGGAATCTCCACATAATTGATTTGATTAAATAATTTTATTGGAACTGTAGCATGCACTAGTCACTAGTGATCAATAAATGAAGAGACAATTGATGAATATTGGGATGAGGTTCAGGATTAGGTGTTCTTTTTTGAATTATAAATAAATTTTTCATATCAATCTAACATGATGTTACTTGAAAGTCTACCTATTTGCAAGCCTATTCGGTCATGGCTTATCGAGTAGGTATAGGTAATTGACAAATTAGCTGATGGCTCTCACTTTCACATTGTATTTCATAGGTTTCTTCTGAAAACAAGAAACTATTTGATTCTTGACATGGCTCCTTTGCTTCTTGGCCTTTTACAGTGACCCAAAATCGAGCCCAAAATCATCGATAGGTATATGAATACTTATGTGAAAGGTTGGTAAACATACATACCTCTTTTGTAATACTAGGAAATGGAAGAGCTCCTAATATAACAGTATCATCTATCCTATTGTACCATTTTCTATGGGAAATCCTTTCCATAACAACATTATATATTAATGTTGGATAAAACGTTACTCTTGCAAACATTATTCTATATTTATGAAAAAGAATAATGGATTGAAAACTTGTTAACTTCACTAAATTTATCAATGTTCAATTTGTTTATTTTTTTCTGACATTCTCCTCTCACATTCTACTATTCCAATTATATTTTTGAAACATAAAGGATGTTCATGAATGATTGAGCTTTCGGTACTGAAGAATCAAGAATCTGAACCTGAACATGGAGGTGATTACAAAAATATAAACATTGAGAATAATTTGGTCATGTCAGTCTGAGTCATGAGTGTCAGTGTCACTGTCATGACACTCATGACTGTCATGAGTGGTCATGACATAATGTCATGACTCATGAGTGAAATATAGGGTGCGTTTTTCATTCCAACATTTTATCATGCGCATGAATCGAAGAAACCATCAAACTGTTGCAAAATTCCGCTGGAATGTTGATGGACATCCATCAAACTGTTGTAATAAAATGCGCACTTTTAAATCGCATTTCGAGAATCCAGCAGTTTGGAGGAGATTGACATGACAGTTGACACAGTGGCGGATCTAGGCAGTTTTTCAGGGGGGGGCCATGGGCCGTGAGTTAATGGAAAATACCAAAAAGTTTGGCAAATTTTGTCACAGGCGTTTGAACCAGACTCTTGAGACAATCTGTCCTATTTCTGCCACCAACTTGGGCAAAGACAACACATCAGTATTTACAATATATTCCTTTGTGGATGAGTGAATACGATAACCATTCATATTTTGTTAAATGATCATGATTTAAATAACGTTTAACGATTCGGTTATTTTTATTATGTTCCGAAAACGGCAACACTTGGTTACGAGGCGGATGCCAAGTATTTTTCAAGAAATTGTATTTCTCATAGTCATTCATTGTTCGCCCAACTGCTTTACCTATATCGAAAATATTTTCATTTTCCATATTTTCTTCTGACATATAAGGGTTTTGAGATGACGATGATGGTTTCTCCTCACTTTGGATGCTTTGAGATAGTTTTTTAATATTTCCCTCTGATATGTCACGGTTTCCTAAAGCTGAAGATGACGGCCCTGCCTCGCTTTGAATACTTTGAATTGGTTGTTCAATTTTCCGCTTTTTTTGTACTGGCAAAAAGTATGAATTAATCTTCCTTCTATCCATCTGAAAAATTAAAGAGCTCAGCTAAGTTCTCCAGATCGAATAGGTAGGAGATTGAAATTTTTTTTTCACAATGACACCATGATCATTAAAATACATTTTTTAGTTGGAATAAACTCAGGAATGTTGACATTAAATGATTCTCGAAGATGTATTGAAGATTTATCTGCAGCTCTAAATAGTTTTGTTCATCCAAGTGAGTAAAATTTTATTCGTTAATAATCTCACTGTTGCGTATGTACCAATGTACCTACTTACCATTTAATTTTTAGTATAATTTCAATTTCACTTATCACTTACTTCTTCTTTCTTTTTAAATGAAAAAATCTGTGAACTGAATCTTACTGTTCTGAAGAACTAATGTGAAATGACCCTTTTCACCCTTTTCTTTCAAAACCAATTGGTGTTTTTTGCGGTTTCGGATAAAAAACAACTACTTATTTCAGTTATTCCCTTTATTTTTGATTCTTGCCGCTCACCGCCACCGGTCACCGCTTACCGCTAATTTGCATTCTACTGAAGCCCCGGCCTTGAAAATAATTATTTTTCCTCTATCGTTATCTGTTTTGCCGCCCTTTGATCTGACCGCCTGTGTCGTTTTCCCATATTCCCACTGCATACAAGAATATTTCTATATAATATTTGTATATGATAATGAATGAAATTCAAAAAAGAGTTGATTTGGCATGTTCGAGTGTTTGAGGAACCATTCAATACGAAAACTACGAATACGAATAATTTTGGTTTGTATAACGTAGCTTTGGTTGCATATCCAGACTGATTGTTGAACCAATATCAACTACTTATTCAGAGCTCTGGGGGGGGGCCATGGCCCCCATGGCCCCCCCCTCAGATCCGCCAGTGAGTTGACACATTTTAGTGTTGTTTTTTGTTTTGATTTGATAGAAAACAATTAATATTGAGGATTTTTGAGATTCTTGAGAGATTTTAGAAGAAAGAGTCAGTGTTAATCAATAAAGTCGAATTAGCCTTTTCTGATTCTCAAGATACATGATGACTGACACACAACAAAATCCGTGTTTCCATCAATGTGTTGTATAAACCATTGTTCAATCCTTCCAGCATAAATTCCAACAGAACAATTGGTGACGTCACGACAAAAAACCGCATCTATCAGTGCGCACTTTCTTTGATGGAATGAAAAACACGCCCATACAAATGACAGTTTTTGGAAGTGTATAATCGTTCGACTGTTCGTCCATGTCCGACAAAACAACCTCTATTTTGAAATTCATTATTTTGGTGCTAGGCGCTTCGTCCTTGAGATCACTTGAAATGGACAATCGAGTAGTTCATAATATGGAGATATTCTATCAAATGAATTGGTGACGCCTGAATTCACATCGAAACATTCGATTGCATTCGAGACGATAAGCAGCAAGCAGGGTAGAGAATGACAGCTGGCAACACTGACTGCAATTTTGGATGTGGCTACATTGACGATCAGCGGCCTTGTTGTCGATGTCGTTCGTTTTCCTGTCCTGTCATATATTTTTTGAGATTTTGAGTCACAGTTTTCAGAATTTTGAGATTTCACTCAGATTTCAGACTTTTCCATGAGTGTGGTTCAAAAGCAATAATTCAAATGTTTGAGTTTATGAAATGAAATAAGAACCGTTCCGACTGTAGTTGTTGCAATCTTCAGATATTGATTAACTTTTTCAAATAATGAAAAACAAGTATGATGAGTGATGACATGAAATAAGGAAGTAAGTGCTACGACTGCTAGCTATGGTTCTCTCAAGTTGATAATAATGATAATAATAATATTCATTTTCCAATGGACATGATTGAGATGTTTATAATTCCTAGACATGATATACATGTATAGGAATAGTGGAAAAATAGTCAAATATACCTGACAGATTGAAGTGGTAAAATATTGTAGAACATGTATAAGTTCTCTCCATGAAGCTCACTTCCGAGCTCAATTTATCCACAATTTGTTACTTCAATTTATATTCATTCTATTAAATAGTCTAATTTACAATTACTGTAGGTACAACTCAAATTCTCACCATCATGTACACAAGAATGTATTTGCAACAAGTACCTAGATATAAATTATATTGGAATACTACAACATGATGGCACCATTCAACTGAACAATTTTGAGAAAAATCTATGCAGTAGGTATTGAGCAAGTATTGAGGTATTGAGCCAGTATTGAGGCATGGACTTTGTACAGTATGTTAAGGACAAGTTCATGGATTGTCTCAATTTCAGTTCCAATGCTTTTATTGCTGGGTTGTATCTCATAGATCACATAATATTCAATTTAAACTAAACATAAGCATTCAAGGGACATTCTAGCATTAGTAGGCAGATTTTGGGTTTCTACAGTACAAGTCATTAAAAGGATTTGTCTACTATTACTAAAACAAGGACAGATATGAGTTGACTAAGCCAAAGAAAAAATATAACTATACCTCCCTATACCTATTTTTGATATATTTCATAAAATATGTTTCAATCTTTCTATTATAATGTGTAAATTTATGACAGAAGGACTTTGGTTGATAGCCATTTGAGCATTGTTGTTGAATGAAGTACTTTTATTATTGTCACTATTATAATTATTATGTAAATTTGAATGCCTGGAAGAGTATTTTACATGAAAACATTACATACATAAATACAAACATAATCTGTAGGTATTATAAATGTGGTATTATCTTGATGAAAATCTAGTCAACAATTGCCCATGGAACTTAGCCCTACCATTTTTTTCTGGGCTTTCAACACACCTTGGTCCATTCACTCTGATGCCGTCATAGAATCTCATTTGAATGATATTTAATTGGGTAGTTTTTCCATGGAAACTATAAATGTTCCATATTGAATTGAAATCAAATATAAATACCCATTAGAGAGACCATGTGGATGTGGTAAACATCTAACACCATCAAATATGTGATATGACCACAGCAGTAAAATTTTATAAATAGGTATTATTTCATGGGAGCATATTAGGCAGCATATCTGTGTACAATAATATTTTATTGACAGTGGAGTATATAAGTTGATTGATTGAGGGTTGATTGATTGGAATGGTGCAGTGGTTGAGGCCCTGGATTGATCATCAGAACATCGAAAAGTTGCTAGGTTTGAATCCCTGACAGAGCAGAGAATTTTTATTCATGAAACGAATTATCTCGCGAATTATATTCGTAGCCCCGGCCGGAGATGAATCTGCACCATTAGCTGTTGCGTTACAATTAACAGTGCTACTCCTATGGTGGCGTATGGAGTGAGTAACAAAGCCTACACAGAACACACATGGGCTGAAACACTTCTCGCAAGGTCGATACCTAGTTGGTATGTTCATACAGGGTGACACATTTGAAAGCTGGCTACCCTCATAATTTTTTTTATTTCTGGAGCGATTCTCACGATTTTTTTTATGTAGAGGAAGGAAAGATGTATTCTAGAGCTAAGTGGCGTCCTCTTTTTTGAAAACCAAGGTCTACTAGATCACTTTCAGAGGCTGAAAAAATCCGCGTGCACCACTGGAATTGGCGTCCTCTGAAATAGATCTGTACCAAGTTTCATGACAAAATATTCAACATTAGCGAATCTACAGTATGTCTCATTTAAAATGGCACACCCACTATGTCTCATCTATTAGTCCTGCAATTCGTACCAAATTTGGACGGGTATAACTAATCATCAATACAATTAATTTTTCAGATATGAACATACTGTTGGATGGTGCCGTTTGTTGTTATTGAAATGAAATGTGGTCGATTTTTATGAAATCATATTAGGAGTTTTTTTTTGCAAGAAAACTAACTTATTACATTGAGTATAGTGTATATAATCAAGGCTTCTTATTATTGTTCTTTATGTTTAT